GAAAAGTCATTATCGGAAGGGTACTTGCAGGTTACGGATAGAGTGTCAATCGCAGCGCGGGTGTCAATATCGCGGTTAATTCGCTCGGATTTTTAATCATCGTTCGCCTTAATTCCGTAACAAGCTATCGTAAAAAATTTGTCGGCTAAACTTGTTGCCGTGGCATGCTTTGACTGCGAGAAACAGTTTTTCAGATGGGAAAATATTTGCAAGTTTCGGAACGTTGCGAGCTGGAATTTTGGGGTATGAAGTTTAAACGGTATGTCCCGGAAGTAGGACACTGAATTTTCGATCGTTTGTATTTGCTATATGAAGTTTGGGTTTGTAAACTGACATTTCGATAGTTTCTTCCTTGTGGTGTGCTTTTATGTCGGTTCTGAAAATACTAAAGCCTCAAACGATAGGAGTAGAAACTTCTAAATTTTGATATCGGTAATTAAATGGTTATGGCTCCGATATTATATGCCATAAGGCAAATTATGTTTCCTAAAATGTTGCTAAAGAGTTACGTATGGAGCTTGAAACACGAAACTCAAGCACATAAAACTTTTCTGACGGCATGCAAACACGCGCAACCTCTAACGTCGCAAATGTAATATCGTCATCAACGTCCAAAACTAAACAAAAACCTCGTAAACTCTGAAGCTGCAATATTACGAACAAATTAATGCTTTGGAAGTTCAGAAAGCTTCATTTAATAGCGACCGCTGTTGATTACCCAACCGTTAAGTATACCTTTATCGAATAAGCCGAATAGTCAAAACATAATAAAGCCAAAAATAAACCTGTACGAAATACGATAAAAAACTTGAGTATTTTTAAAGATTGTAAAAAACAACATAAAGAATCGACGTTTATGATTTTGGGTTGGCTGCATTTATACTGAAATAACGCTTTATTGCTTAACAGTGTTACACAGAAATAGCGAAAAGTAATTGTTTTAAATTTAAAAAGTATAATTGAAACAAGATACGTAACGCAGAAATTTAACAGATTTTTATATTTTTACAGCATGAGCTACGTAACGCGATATTGTATTTGCACAACCGATTATACTATCTGCAACATACCTTGAATATTATATTTCTTTTTAATAAACATTCAGCCATTTCTCGTGTAGCTCATTAGCAAAATTATATTCGCTACGAAATTTTATATTGTAGCTAGTAATTCTAGCTACCGAAATTAATAATTCATAAACAGATAGGTATCAAATGAGTCAGTCAAATTTACCTGGCCATAAGAAATGTTCCTTTGATCTTAAAAATATTTTAAGAAACTAAAGAGGAAAGGTATTCGATAAGGGTGGTTTTGAATAAATTATGTTATCCGGAGGAAACGTGTAAAAATTCAATTTTGCAAGGATCAAATGGAATCCTATAATACTTAAGGATGAAACATCATCCAAGGGAAACGTCAAGACAACAAGAATGATCGTTCCTAAAACGTGCACCCCTTTCCAAGAATCACTGACCGCTTCGCGTCCAATTTGGCCCCGGCTGTTCGTGTCGAGAAAATAGGTTGGATTTGAATAATAATTCTCTTACGTCCGGTTCACACTAGACCGTCGTGCACGGACATGCAAATTTTCAGTAACTGTTTCAGAATATGTGCCACGAGCCGCCTTGTGACTGGCTCGTAAACCTCGAGTACGGCCACGTCGACATGCCGGACCGCCTATATAATATGTTAATGACACATCATTAGATCCGACCGCACGTAAACGATCTCGTAGAACACTTATCAGTATCCCTGGCCACGGTAAACGAATCGTTGGGAAGAGAGAAAGAAACGAGATTTTTGGTTGGATAAAATTAATCATGTACGATATTGGACACACACTCGTGTCCATTAGTCATGGCACATTTTGCAGGTTTAAGATAAATCTGAATTACGCCGACTGTAAAAAAAAAGGCTACTTAACCCTTGGCAGGCAGACATTTATACTCTGTGTAGAAAACGAAAGTGCTTTCTATAAAGTTTCAATGGTGTGACTGTAAATGAATATGTAGATCATGTAGTCCTAAGTTTTATAGCAGAACTTTTATATTCAAAGTAGGATTACCTAGTTAGCTAGTATATAATTTTGTAATTCATTAATTTATCCGTGAAAGTATTTAAAAAGATTCTGTCGATTGTTCGACGCACACTCTAAAATCTTACTTCAGCACCGACTTAATATTTGCAATTTTTATTCCGCTGTCGAAAAAATCTGATTCGGTTCCAGCATTCGCGGTACAGATACGTGTCTGACCGTAGCCCACTTAATTTCCACGGCATCAAAATGCACAGCTTTGAGGTGGTTTAGCAATGAACATCGCGTGCTCTCAAAGAAAATGCGAGCATCGCGTTCGCTCCTTTTCACCGTTGAAAATTAATTAAAAATATTTCCCTTCTATACCGGTGTTTCTCGTTCGACCCGGTTTTTCACGTGAATATATTCGCGGTACATTTTACAATTACGGGGGGAAACACGTGCGAGATCTGACGCGTGGAATTTTTATTCGACGTCAAAAAAAAAACACGCTGCTTCGACCGTGTGGAGTTGTAAAAATTTCAGGTTCCCTTACCGCGTTGGTAACCTCTCCATTACGAATAAAAACGGTGTTGTTGGCTCGCGCGACAATGGGACGCTTTTATTGCCGTGATCCACAGTTTGGCAATCACGGTCAGGTAAACAGTATCTGTATCGTGACCGAGGGATTCCCTTTATCGAAACGCTTATACGGCTCTTCGATGTGTTCGTTGAAACGCTTTGAATGGAAAACTTCGATTTCAATTTTGTACACCTCGAGCGTAATAAATGTATAAAAGAAGTCTATGAAAATATCGAACTGGGCCACTGAATTTTCAACGCTTTTATATTATTAGCATACTTCGTACAAAACTGCGCCAGCACATAATAATTTTCCTATAATTTGTCAAAGTACGGAATTTTTCACATTTCTGTCGATTTTACCAATCCAGACTAACCGTTCGAATCTGTCACCATTTCCTAAATTCGAATGAAATTTTTGTGAAAAAGCTTTGTGTCGTTTATCCATGTCTGATTTGCAAGTTTATTCCTACGTCGACGATGCAGCATCGGATATTCCGCGAAAAGAATTCCAGTTATTTGCATTAATTCGGTCATATCAAACGTATGCTCAAGATCGGTCGTATACACGCGTCCTGGATGGCGCAGCACGTTATGAGACGATTTCGTTGCCAGGAATTTTCTCCGGGATAGTCTGCGAATATACACATTTCCCACGAATTCTCTGTTTGCGAGCCTTAGATGTGGTGTTTCGCGAATTTGATACGACATGCGCGATACGCGGCATAGCTCCGCATACATTCGTCCGACATGGAATGCCCGCGTCAACGTACACGCGAAAATACCTGATACGCGTTTAATATAGTATGCGATATTATTACGATGGTATTTAGTGATCGAACAATCGGCGGCATAGAAGCGTCCGTATTTGCCATTCGAGCAATGAAACCCTTCCAGAGAATCGGGCCAATAACGGTCGACGCTTCATCGCGTATAATTGATCCCTAATAACAATGAATGACAATTAATCGCGAACCATTGCCTTCGATGAAACCTTACTAGGTAGTGTTATGTCTGCGCGGAATCCCTTTCACGATCAAATTGCACGTGAAATTGTGCGTTTGACGTTTGGAAATATCGTTGAATATTCGAGTCGTTGAATCGCTCGCGTTTAGAACTATCGATGAGTTAATAATTTCAACGAGTTCCTCTATTCGCAGTTTCAAAGCGGTTCACTGCAAATAGCCGATAGAATATATGACTACGTACACGTATATTAGTCACGCTTTTGAATCGTCACGCGTTTTACTACCACGCCTCGTATTTCCACGCATTGTGCTGTCACGTGTTGCATTCTTTGCCTTGCACGTTATCGAGCATGCCAAGTTTCCCCAACAAAAATGGAAGGAAGTCTGAAAACTGCAGGAATTTGGAATACGAATAAAAGTGACCGAAGATAAACCGTAACAAAATTGAAATAAAATCGTAATCGTGGAGTTAACGAGGGGTAAAAATTAACGCAGAAAAAACGAGTTAACACGAAGCACGCGCCGATTAGTGTCGTGGAGACGAATTTGTCACGAGAGACAAATTAATGAGACGATTATTGGAAGCGACGAAATTCAACCGCCAGTCTGACCCGACAATAACATGTCACAACCAACTATTTTATCGCGGGTTAACCGTCGTGCGGTGAAACGCCATAATAGTTTCATTAAAACGGTCGGGGTCGATGGGTTTGCGGGCTATTATTGGTTTTTCCTAGTGAAGAAAAATGGCTTGGTGCCCGTGAACGTTCACTCGTAGTTCATGGTAATATTAAGGCAACTTCGTTACATCAAGATTATTCGATACTCGTAAGTCTCGGTGTAACTAGGATTTTTGCCCAGAGGGTGGTTCACTAATTTCAAAAGTATGTGGATCCCAGAAATGATTATAAGGCAAGATTTCTAACGGATAGGCGACAGAATTCTATTTATAGAAGCAATGTAATGCTCGTGCCTGGTTCGATTAAACGGTTAAATTTACAGCGAGCCGAAGCGAAATCGGCAACGATTTTTCATTGTGTAACCGGTTGGTTGGAACTGAGCTCGATGCTTGAATTCCTCCCGCGTGAATTGCGAAAATTTATCGAAGTCTGTGTTTTTATCGTTGTTAACGCATAATCCGGCACAACGCTGTTCCACGTGATTTCGTGCAATTATTTCGTAATGAGGGCATCGCGATGGAAACGGATGAAACGAATCTCGGTCCAGAGACTTTACGCTTTGTTAAATTAAATCGCATCGATGGTGCATTTTTGTCGCATTAGCTTGTACATTTCACTCGATCATGTGTTTTAGTAACCGCCTCGTTAAACAAATGTTACGAATCTCTTTTTCGTATCTCTTCACACGAGGTTCGAGTTGAAAAGTATTCGAGTATTAAAATAAAATTATTTATATTGTGGAACATGTCTACTTACCATTTCCTTGTAGCAAATTGACATGCGAGGCCGTCTTCGTTTCGGATTTCTTCTACATCCACCTACAACTGAAAAGATAACATAAATTAGCATCGAACGTTTCAACAATTATATTATATATGTATACAATAAGAAATAGCATCAAATGGTTTTATACTGTAAAACAGAAATAATGTCACAAGATCATCATCATCCCTAAATATCTAAATTTTTAAATGATAAAAGTTTATGTATCAGAGACTACCAATAAAAAGTCACCGAAGGGTGGGTTCTTTCCTGCACCCATTTTTCTTGTAGGAGGCAACAATCCTTGCCACTTTACAGCCAGTATCGAGCAAAGAATGATCAGCGAGATACGCGTTCTTGGCTAGGGTTGATTCCCGATCGGAAGGGTAGCGATAGTAAAGTAGGCTTTTTTCGAAGGGGTTGCGAGAATCTACTTCGGCCACGAAGTCTAGCGATAAGACGCGAAGCGACGGAAAAAGCTGCCAGAGGGTGAAATTTCCACGTACGAAGAACTACGACGATATGGATTTTCACTCGAGACGAAAGAAGAGCATTCCCGTGGCCATAACAATGGCGTATTCGACTATCCGCGTCTACCCGTTCGTGTTCCAGGTTTTCAACGTCACGAAACGGACGGGGGACGAAAGAACGAAGAAAGAGCGAAGAGACACGCGTGGGCGAACGATGGGAGGCGAATACAACGCGAACATGCTCTATCTCGGCTGACGTAGACCAAGGAAGTCGGGTTAAGGCTGTATCGTTATCTTCAACGGCGATAACGATAGAATGGCCATTGCGGAGGGTTAGCTGCTGTTGGTTAGGTACACAGCCCTCTTCGATCCATCATTCGCTCGTTCGAGTGCGCGTCTTGACGCGAAACCGCATGCAATCGTGTGTTCTATGGAGAAGCTGAAGGAAGCTGAAATCAGGATGAACGAACACGCGTTCCGTGCGAGAACGAATTGCCTGACTTCTTTTATCTGATGCTGCATTTTTGTTATAGTTGTACGAAACTGAAGTTCGAATATCATTCACCTACGGTCCACTTGTAATACTCTCGAGAGCAACTCAGTTTTGCTCTCAAACTGGCTCAGGAATTAAAGTGAAAGACTTATGTAGAGATAGGATAGTGAATTTTGCCGACTGTACAATCGATTACGCATAATAAAGTAGTATCGTTATCACCGTGGCCGCTATTGGTCGATTACACTGACCATCGGCCACGAGTACAATTTATCCCGGTTCTCCTGGAGGCACAGCTAGGTCGGCTGGTAGAAGGGCGGCTAGATTTCCTGCAAGTCGACGCAACACCGCCTCGTTTATCAAGCGTGTGATGAAGCTGGTGGGTTAGGCGAGGGTCTCGACGAGAAGCACGGCATAAGCAAACCGCTCATCTTATCTCGAATCGCAACGTCTTGTTAGACTTCCACTCTGTTCCTCCATTCACCATCCCGCTATTCCTCGTCCTTTCGTTCCATCGCATCGCTCTTCGAGTTTCTCCGGCGCGCCGGCTTGCTCAAAGGAGAGCCGAGAATATTTTTCGGGTCGAAGGTCTCCTGCCGTGGCATCCGAGCTCTTTTCCTACGTCCCGTGTCTGTCGTGCCACCGACAGCGAAAAAAGAAAATAGAACGTGAGCATTCGATAACGAGGCTGCCGGCCCAGTTTCTACTCCTTCCAGAGGAAAATCTCCCGCATCTACATAGGCGGAGGCGAATTTTCCGCTGCATTTTCTTGACCTCGTTCTCAGCCGTATAAAGCGGAAGGGATCAGTCGTGACAACTTTCAGAGATTCCGGCTATTTCTTTCCGTCACTTCTACCAGTTTCTTTTTCACGCTGTTTTTTCCGCTGCCCTCCTTTGTTTTTTCATTACCCGTCAACTGGGCACGAGTTCGTTACCGCTCGTTTGCACCATTATACGCCGCGTTTCACCGCCAGAAACGTACAGCGAATGTTGAATAAAACATCTGTTGATCGACGTTTTCTCGATAAGCTTATCGAGTACCTTGCTCCTCTCGTGTGGAAACACGTGTATTCGATACTCCACTTTCATTTAACATACTCTATTGAATTGCTGTATCAAGCAATTGCCCCAAACTCTCCACAAATGTCAGTCCCTAAAAATCTAATCATCGTCAGCACTACGATTAACATCTGTCCAGAGACGTCCAATCTCTTGGGGCAATACGATTCGTTATAACCCAAACAAACAGGGATACTGCAGGTTTAACAACGCGGTGAGAGTTTAGTCCTTGTCGTACCTCGCCACCTACTTATGCATCTCAAACAACGCTATCCTAGTTTGTTTGGGTTGCAACGAATTACGTTGTTTCAAGAAATTGCTCTTGTCATTCCAACGCTGCTTCCAACCCCTACGCGAAAGAGATTCTTACGTTAATCCATTGTTCGTCGGTTGAAACCTCGTTATATTTTACGATACGAACATTTTCGCAGATGATTAGCGATGCACTGGTGCCGAGAGATTGGCCGTGGAACCACCTAATTTGCGGGATTTAATATGCAAAGCATGCAGGTTACGGATTCACACGAGTAATACTAAATTCGCCCCATCAAATGTTTGCACATCATCAACTCTTTGACGTCTGACCTGACTTCGCACGATATCCTTTCGCTTATCACCGTTGAAACGAGCTGATTCCCGCTGGAAATCATTAAAAAGGAATTCCGGGTTCTGGGTTTACGCTAACGTTGCACGTTGGAAATGGTACACGGTCAGATTATTTGAAGAAAATACCAACATGTTCTATGTACTCAAAATGAACAACAATTTGGACAGACGAAGACCATAGGTTTTAACACACATTTACTTTAGCTCCAAACTTTAATTCGAAGGGATCATCTCCAGATTATGTTATTACACGTGAATTTATTATCTGCCAGTAAATCCAAAATATCATCTTTCTAAATGCTAATTTTATGCAAAGAATGAATGCCACAGTGTCCATCTTATTCAGATAATAATTCAAGTTTTTGAAACTCAAAATGAATATTTGAGTTGGTACTCTAGTTTTATTATAACACAATTATTGCTGAGATTGCAGCTGAAAGTCCCTCGTACAATGCAACCGAAACGCTATTGTCGAACAAAGAACAAAAGTAATATCTATGTCGTGGGATTTGAAAATTCACCGGAGCATGTTTTGAAAATTCCATTTTGACGATCAGTTTGGACAATTAAACTCCGCTAGAGTGTTTCAGTTCCCTTCTCTCCGGGCAATAACCATTTGAGAGTCGACAACCGGTTACGACAACGCTTCCATGTAATTCCCAGAAGTTTCAGGGAACACCGGTTGCCACACGGGCACGTTAGAGTTTTCGAAAAAAATTACGATAAAAAGGAACTCGGGAATGCTTCGTTTTGCGCCGTTATGCCACCGCGTTGTACCCTCTTTCTTTCTACCGCTATGCCAACTGCCCTCTCGCGTTTTCATATTCGCACGTGCTCTTTATTCTCCTCGCATTACTGAACCACAATTCCAACACTTCGGGCGAATTATAGATCAGGCGATTTGGCTTGAGTGCGAAAAGAAAATGCCGCGGTAAGAGCGCGAATATTTTGAACATACGAATTATTCAGATTTGCAGAATTTTATTTGAGATTATAATAGGTGTTTACATACCATCTCTTATAATTGGTACAAGTTTAAAAAAATGACAAAAAATTGAAACATCAAAATGAAGTTGTTTAGGCAAAAAAATAAACCAGCCTTTTTAACGAAGCACTGTATTATTAATTTAATAAAGAGAATCAATGTAGACACAAATATATGTTTGTTATTTAAGGCTTTACCAGGTGTTCACATACCATCTCTTATAATTGGTACAAGTTTAAAAAAATGACAAAAAATTGAAACACCAAAATGAAGTTGTTTAGGCAGAAAAATAAACCAGCCTTTTTAACGAAGCACTGCATCATTAGTTTCCCAAAGAAAATCAATGTAGACGCAAATATGTGTTTGTTACGTTACCATTCTTGTCGACAGAATAAGAGTGCATTCAGCACAAATTGCACGATTTGCATGAAGGATTTTCGGTAAGCTCATTGACACGTCTTGTTTCGTCGAAGTCAAGCGAAATCCTAAAGTTGAAAGCTCGAAGAAGAAACGGGAGTTTCGAATTTGCCTGAGGATCGAGTCTTTCAGCCGTCAAAAGCGAGAATTCCTGTTTTCCCCTTTAGGTGTGCCAAAATTGCTTCCATCGTCGTGGCACGACCGTCCGGAAACGAGATTCGAAAACGTGCCCCGGGATATTTCTCGCGGGGTAATTTAAACGGTAGTAAATGAAATGTAATGCACTCTTTCCGCGACGCTCCCGCGGAAACAAACAGAATTTACATACCCCTTCTAGATTTCCTCGGTAACATCCGCTCCCTCGAGACCCGCCAAATTGAATAATAAGTTTTCTCTAGTATTTTTACGTGATATTCGACGAACTCTGTGATACCGTTTTTTGCCTTCTCACGATTTTCCATGAAACGAACTACGAAATATTATGAGGGTGGAATACAATTTAGTAATTAATATGCAACAGGTAAATGATGGCCCTCGATGATACACATGCTTTAGAATTGTTTGAACGAAAAATAACCTGTGTGTTGCAATGTTTATCCTGTTACAACAAAACTCTGTTTAAATCATCGAGCTCTATGATGAACATACTTGTATACGTCCATTCTTCGATCGGTGTATACGCTCTTCGGTCAAGTTCCACTTCGCGTATGTGCACTCCACATGTCTAGTGCCTATTCTGCGACAGACGTGTATACGCTTCTCCGAATGTTTGAAGGTGTATTTATTGTTATAAATTTTAATTTTCGCAAGGTTCTATTTTTCTGAAGAGGTAATTTTCGTAGCGGAAAAGGACTTCGTGAATGGCAAAAATTCAATGATCGAGTATTGTCGACATAATAATTCTCCCTGCGTTAATGCGAGCAAGTAACTTCATCGAAGCGAGATAATGAAAGTGATTAACGGTAATCTTCGGCCGTTAATGGTTCAACGAACGCGCCATCGAATAAGAATTTCTCGAACCGAGATTTTAATTT